GAGGCCTTATAATCCCTCACTGTAATGTTTGGCAAGTTTCCTGTACTTTATTATATCACTCCTTACATAAAGCATAATCTTTAATAGAAGACTGCTTTTAATTCCTGTTTATTAGTGGTGTACATGTATTTCCGGTTTGTCTATTTTACTTTCCTCAGAGGAAATCTTTGTGGTGTGAAAACAGTGCTGTAATATCAGTCACATGAACTGAAAGTTGATGAAAAATGACTTGTCTGGAACTTTACAGAAGTCTTGACTTTTAAATGAAATGGTATCCCTTGTTTGTGATCCATTAAAACCCGACATGCTTCTTTAACCAAATAATCAATTCATTTAAAAAACTAAAAATATGGTAAAATATAATGCACACTGCACAAGTAAACATAAACAAATCAAAATGTACAAGGTTTGTGAATGAGCAAATGTATCTAAACATGTGTTTATATCCACTGTCAAGGGCAAGATATGTTTATTAAATTGAGGAATTGAAATGAACGCAAAACAAAAATGTACTTGTATTAACTTTAAAACACCCAGAGAAATGACATTGAATACATACATGCACAGGAATAGATATTATAATAATGTAATAGAGTAATGTAAACAAGCCATGCATGGTATGGCATTGTCCCAGTTAGTTATCAAATTTAAGATATATATTTTTGTTTATAGTAATATAGCTGGAATATAACCATGTCAGGAATATGATTTTTTAACATTAAAATGATTGACATTTGTATCTCATCGTCAAACAAGTACTCCATATTAAGAGATATTGCTCTGGAACAGCATTCAAAATCAGCCATTTTGAATACATGTATATATATATATATATAACATGATGTATAACGAATATATAACATTTGAACAAATTTTGAACAAAATCCATCTGTAAACAGCCGAAAAATGTTTGATTTTGATGATTTTTAGCACAAAAATGGCCGCCATTCGGCCATCTTGGATCAAATCGTGAAACAAATTGACGTGCAACTGTATAATATTATGTATGATGTATGTGTGAAGATTGATTGTGATTGGTCCAGGCATTTCTAAGATACAGGTCCGAGTGCACGCACGCACACACACACACCGAACACACGCACAGAGGTCAAAACATAAGTCCCTGTTTTTGGACTGCGTCCGAACGGGGACTAATAAGCCACCGAAGACCAAATATTAACACAGACAATACAATAAAGTAAATAGGTCAATGAAGACAAAAGAATAATGTAAAATAAGCCGAGGACAAACAAATAATGTAAATACACCACTGGAGACAATAAAATATTGTAAAAATACCACAGAATAGCATAAAATACTTACCTCCTACAGTTGCAAGTTAATATGAACTGATCTCTGAAAGTCTGACAATCTTCTACTCGTTACAATATACACATGCTTCCAGAATATCTAAAAAAAATGAAAAAAAGAGAATCAGACATAAGGTTGTCCTGTTTCCATTCTGTTTCATTCAAAGTGACTATTCTCAGCATGGAGTTCCCAATCTAATAGTTTAGACTGTGATAACAAAATGTACATGTTGATTTTACAGGACAAGAACAAACCAAACTAGGACAGCTAAAACGAAAAAGACACAAGA